TTCAGAAATGGTCTCTGCACAACTATCAAACATCTGATGTCTAGAGTCTTAGGCCACCCATAGACATAAGACATTTCATGTGAATGATCATTTGTATGAAGGAACTTTTCCATAAACAGTAACCATCTTCTCCTCCATTGCACGTCAAATTGACCGGATCCATTTTTCAAAAGAACAAACATTACTATTAAATGTTATGATGTTTCCTCATTTGGAGTCATAAACATATGTGTTTAGTCTGGACACTCTAATGTAGTTTGAATGGTGTTCTTAATGTACATTTGAAATTTGAGCATTCAATAAAAAATAAAAAAACTGCCAGTGCAGACCAAACGCAGATGGTGGGAACGAGCCCTTCAAATGATCGATACAATAACCAATAGAACAGATCAAACGTTAAAGCGCGCCTTGCACTTAAAATCAGAAAGTCTGCTTATTTAGTTAGACCCATATCCCCCATTATAAAAACACACAAAAAAAATTGTGGAGGGAAAAAAAGTTCATGAACTTACTAACTTTATCCCTGCTTCCGCCGACGGTGCCTAGACATCCTTCAGGCAAAATACCGGGATGTCAAGTAGCCCAAATCTCACAAGAACAAGCTCCTTCAATGTGCTGTAGAGTCATCTTGTTAGATTATGGTTACTTGGCATTCCCTGGGTTATCGGCCAAAAGATACAGTGCAACCTCATTCATTGTTGGAGCGATGAGTAAGGAAAATAACTGTTTCCCCCCACCCTTTTGTTTTGTTTAAATCCCATCTCCAGGCAAACAAAAAAGCACCCTTGTTACCCTGCACTGCAAGGGTTAAGTGCTTATGCCTAGAGGACCTGGGTAAAGCAGATTTACTTACCTGAGCCCCGCCCCCCCCTGAACCGGTACCCGGCAGCCTCTTCCCCGCTTCCCTACAGCGGTCTAAGGAATGCAGATATAATTAAGTACAATGCAGGCTCCATAGCCTAAAAGGTGCCCATACACTGCACGATTCTCGTACGAGAATCGCGGGAAATCCCGCGATCGTACGAGAATCGTGCAGTGTATGGAAGGCATGCGACCATTTCTACTGTACGGTCGCACGTCTTCCATCGAACCCGCATGTTTGAAACCCCGCCGGGAATCGTACGATTCTCGGCGAGTTGGTGGCCTGCTGGTTCGACAACTGCCGAACGGGCCGGTGTGCGCACGCGCACACTGCCCGTTTGCAGTCAGCGTAAGCCCGCCCCTCATTACAGTCATCGCAAGCCAGCCCCTCAGGGGGCGTGGCTTGCGATGATCGAGAGTGCGATCTGCCCGTCCAAGATGGGCAGATCGAAAGTTTTTTTAATCCCTTTACAACCATCGCAAGACTAAGGTCTTGCTATGGTTGTAAAGTGTATGGCCACCTTTACACTATACATGACACCAAGAGACAGCCCACAGCTGCAGCAGAGGGGGATATAAGGCGAGTACAAACTTCTGTGTGAGTGGGGATCAGGTAAGTATAACAGTTGTTTCCTGTCCCCTAGGCATTGGGGTAGCCCCACTGCAAGGATATTTTTTTTTGTCTGCCACTTTAAGAGCAATTTAAAATTCTTTGGCGGTTAGACTGTACATTTATTTTTTCAGATCTCTGCACCAAGGAAGAAAGAGGGACAAAGGAGTTTGGTTTCAGATGAAGAACAGTTGGGAGCTTTGCTGTTAAAGCAATAGTTCTGGTATAGGACAGCACAAACATGCAGGGCTGGTGCAAGGATTTTTGCCTACACAGGCGAAGGTGCATTTTTGCGCCCCTCCTACTGGCGCCCTCAGACAGCTTGCTTTGCAGCCTTACACCAGTGCTAGCCCTGACCACATTACTCAGTCTACCCCAAAACCTGGAGGCATTTCCTCACTAGGAGCAGATTGCACTTTAAAGGCTAAGTTCACTTTTCTGACAATGTTTTATGTTACACCCATATTTAGGGTGCAACGTGAAACATGATCAGATTGCAACCCCCCCCCCCCCCATAGTGGCAGAGGGTAGTTTTAGAGGAATACAAGTGTGGTGACATCCCCGCACATGTAGCCTTTTAACTCTGCCTCCTCGTCCATATTACTACATGTCCCTACCTTGGTACAGGCATGGACGGTAGTAGGGATGCACCAATACCAATTTTTCCAGGCAGAGTACCAATACTTTTCCTCAAGTACTCGCCGATACCAATTACCGATACTTTTTTTGTTGTGTTTTTTTTTGTCATGTGACACTTTTTCTAAAACAACACAGACTAATGATTTTATGATAGTGGAGTGCCAGGGCCCGGTCCTAGCTGCATAAATGCAGCATTTGTGAGTGCTGTGAGATATGGAAATAGTGGTTAATGGTGTAGTAACCTTTTTAGGCCTCATTCACACTGCATTAGGTTGGGCCATGCACGTCTGTGCAGTGTGCATGCTCGTATCGGGCCGTTCCCGGGAGGGACAAGTGTTGCGTGTGATTGCACGCAGCAGCCTGTTGTTCCCTATAGAAGGACACAGCCATACGCAGTCATATGCACCCCTGTGCTCAGACGCAGACAGGATGGATCCCGGACACCCAGACCTGAACGGATGTGCAGTTCGGGTGTGCGTATGACAGCGTACGGCCAGGCCTGGATTCCCCACAAGGGGTGGCAGGGCGCAGAGGGGCGGCAGCGGTGTCCTTGTGGGGAAGTTGCCCTCTCTACATTCAGTCCTGCTATGTACAAGCAGGACTGAATGTAGAGTGAGGCAGACGATTTTTTGTTTACATGTGAAATCGGCGAGGTCGCCGATTTCACATATAAACAGTGTGCAGCCTTTTCCCCCTCCCCCCTGCACTTACCTCTCTCCTTTGGTTCCGTCCTCAGCATCAGAGTCCCGAGTCTCTGACTGCAGTGAGCAGAGCGGCAGGGTTATAAGTAACCCTGCAGCTCCGTGCAGACTGTAGACAGTGAGAGGGGAGAGCGGTGCTCTTCCTCTCTCACCTGTCACAGGAGTTCCAGCACAGTACTGTGCTAGAACTCCTGTATTGGAGGTGACAGGGTCAATAAAGAGAACCTGTCACCTCCAATTGCTATTACACAGGGGATTGTTTTCTCCTGTGTGATAGCAATAAAGTCAGGTGGAAAAAAAAATTAAATTGATAAAAAAATTTAAATAAATAAAAAAAAAATATGAAATGAAATATGTCAGGGGTCTCTTTAGACCCCTGATATTTCCCCCGAAGCCCTAACGGTAAAAAAAAAAAAAAATAATGATAAAAAATAAATGGAAAAAACCACATACTCCTGCACATATACAGTATTATTAGACATGTGCAAAGACAAAAAATGTGTTCTGGACTGACTAAATGAACGGAAAACTAGAAATGTTTTCATTAGTTTCGTCAAACAAAACACATTTTTATGCTATTTTGGATTTGGCCACCAGCGCATTCTGAGCATGCATGCCGCCATCCAGGAAGCAGTATGCATGATGCCAATCATGTGCGGCGTTGGGTGACATAACACGTCTCTTGGGGGGGGGGGCACAATTTTCTGTTCTTGCCTCGGGTGCATAAGGAGCCAGCTACGGCTCTGGCGTACGGCCATGTCCTCCCATAGAGAACAACCGGTAACAGCCTGATGTGGGCACGCACGCCACACAGACGTGTGCACCCTGAGTTAACGCAGTGTGAATGAGGCCTTATACAAATGCTATGCGTGTTTTTTGTATAGTGCTTGTGTACCTATGAATGAGAAATTACAGTGCAGAGTATAGAGCAGCATGTGATTGAGACAGATAAGAATACAGTGCGACCTCAACAGCTCGAAAGTCAGCACAGAGAGAAGAGGGGCGGGGGAGGGGCCTGAAATCACACAGGACGGAACTCCTTCACTCTGATCTCTCTCAGGACGATTGTCTGCTGTGTGTTCTGATTTTTCCGCCCTACCGCGGCTGCACTAGCGCCGGTGATGTGTCGAAAGTGCGAACTTATCGAGTTGTGGGACCGCATTACTTCCGGTTTCCTCAGAACTACGAGGTTTTTACCAAAATCATGTTGTCCACGCGCGCCATCCACGGCATTGCCCTATAGACATAGACCACAGCAATAAAGTAATAAAATGATGTAGGATGACAGTAAGCCAGCACGTTCTTTATCTCCGGTGCCCCACTCAATATGGCCGCCGCTTGAGTGGGGCACCTGAGATAAAGAACGCGCTGGCTTACTGTCATCCTACATCATTTTATTACTTTATTGCTGTGGTCTATGTCTATAGGGCAATGCCGTGGATGGCGCTCGTGCACAACATGTTTTGTGTAAAAACCTCGTAGTTCTGAGGAAACCGGAAGTAATGCGGTCCCACAACTCGATAAGTTCGTAGTTTTGATCGATCACCGGCTCTGCAACCATGATCTGGCTGTATTTCCTATTACACTTCAGCTGTGCAATGATGACTGTTTACATAGCAGACATGAATTATGAGATCACTCCCCTTACATAAAGCGATGGGTCACTAGACTATCAGCACACAATTCACTTACCTAGTACGAGCTCACACCTTGACATCACCCTCGGCTCCCGATTCCATGCACTCACTGTACACTAATCATATAATGCAGCGAGCACAACATCACTCACAGTGATCGCAGAGCAGTTCCGAATCCAGCACATGACATGTGTCACGTGCTCTACGGAAGCTTACTAGAGACAAAAAGCATCTATTTAAAGCGCAATTTCTGATTTAGAGACAAAGTTACAATGTAGTATAGTTTAATCAGCAATTGTGTATTTATAGTGCACGCGTTACTAGTACGATCCAACAGCAATACATCGTGAATCTCACCTACTCATATCAGTGTATAATATAACATATGGCCTAAGTCACTAATAGCAGCCGAAGCGGAAATATGTGTACCGATCTATGGACAGTTCACAAAAACCGGAAGCATCTCACGTGACAGGAGCCTCTGATTGGTAAAAGAGGGGCGGGGCTGTAGCCATAGAGACACTGTACACAAATCAGTGCTCTGTCATTGAGGAGAGAAAGTGGGAAGACATCTGCAGTGTGAGTATATACAGGGCACAGGTTGGCATCCCACATAACACTCAGGATGCACTCAGCTGGGTGGAAGGTGCACGGATACATCTATGGGGGAAATAGAATCAGGGAAGATCTAAAGCTCATCATACATGTTACAATCTGATTGTAAAGTATGCTTTAAAGCGACCAACAACTCTGTAGTGCAAAAGCCTACCTGATTGGATAGATTAGGTAGGTCCTCATAATACATAGTTTTGGTAAATGTAAAGTTGATTGTATAAAGAATGCATGGTCAGATTGTAACATGTATGGTGACCCTTAGGTTGAGTTCACATACTGGTGGTACTGAGACTTAAAATGTCTCTGAAATGCCTAGAACAGGGTTGGGCCGACCCCTGTCCTCCAGCTGTTGTGGAACTGCAAATACCATCATGCATCTGTCTTTGGGAGTCTCGCCTGTGGCTTTGAGAATCTTGCAATGCCTCATGGGATTTGTAGTTCTACGAAAGCTGGAGGGTTGGTGCTCTATCGAAAGCTCCAACTCATCGAGATCTCCAACTACCTCACTTCCGGTGCTCAGAAAGACTGGAGCTCTGTACAGTTGCGGTGCGCATGCGCGCATAGCATTTTCAGAATACTCGTCGAGTTTGCCACCTGCTGAATATTGTTAAAATGCAGCTGTACAGAGCTCCGTCAGTCTTTGTGTTTTGCAGTCTAATGCCATCTGGTCGAAATCTCCAACTTGCAAGTACCCGGCAGTGAGGTAGTTGGAGATTTTCGATGAGTTGAAGCTTTCGATAGAACACCGGAGTTTGCCCCCCACTCCTGGCCTAGAGTGTTAGTTTGCATTTCACACATGCGTTATTGTTCAGGAAGCCATTTGTGAAGCATTCTGATTGCTTTTTTTTTTTTACTAAGAGCCTTGCTGTAGCTCTGCAATTGTGCACTGCAGCATGCAGTTTTTTGTGCACATTGCTGCCAAAACCCATATCACATTGTAAGATGCGCTGCAATGCAATTCACTGTTAATATGTCATCTTCCTGGTATCTCCTTCTCAGTTTTTCTCTGTGGTGTTGTTCTGCCATTTGAGCACTCCAATAAAATCTGCACATTCCTACAGACGTACAGAAAATAACCTTTGCTGTCCTGTGAGGGTTGAGTCCCCTAATCCAGGAACACGTTGCCCAATTTCTTTTGCTGCCCCCTGTTCTCATATGGAGGATCCCTGGAGTCATAGAGATTCCTTTGGCCCCTCACTAGATGGATGAATTGCTCAGTATCCAGCAGGGGCAGTGCTGAGTCCTTCAATGTGTTCATAGTGCTGAGGTTGCTAGGAGGAGGAGACCAGTTGTTACCTGCAAAAATGCTTGAATCCTGCATTTTCCAGCTTTCCTATTGAAGTCTATGGGGCCAGAAATGCCCCAAAAAGAAACTCATGTCATTTTGCAAGCTTCAAGTTACACACAATGGGTGACACGATGTTACAGGTGTAATAATAAGATTCTTATGAGCATTGAAGCCTTCAGAAAACACACCTCAAAACGATTACCGTATATACTCGAGTATAAGCCGTCCCAAATATAAGCCGAGGTACCTAATTTTACCAAAAAAAACTGGGAAAAAGTATTGACCCGAATATAAGCCGAGGGTGGGAAATGAGGCAGCTACTGGTAGATAGATACCAATAAAATTACATTAATATTTATTTAAAAGAAAAATAACCTAGCTCTGTAAGTGGAAAAGGGGGTACAGGGCTACATATCATGTACTACGGATCATTTAACCCATTCATATTAGCAGAGGATAATTGTAAATCTATTGTTCAGTGCATTCTATATGTAGTATATAGTACATGTACATATAGAGTGCCTGCAACAATACATTTACAATGATCCTCTGCTAACATGAATGGGTTAAATGATCCATAGTACAGGGCTACATACAGATCATTTAATACATTCATGTTAGTATAATTGTAAATGTATTGTCTGCACTGTATTAGCAGTATATACTCTATATAGAGTATATACTGCTAATACAGTGCAGACAATACATATATAATTGCTTAATGAATCTCTCTCTCTCTCCCCCCGCCGCCCTCACTCACTGTGTCCGTGTGCCGGTGATCGATCATCACATCACGGAGAGAGCAGGGACGAGTCAGCGGCGCGCTGGTCCAGTGGGAGGAGCTCCAGGTGGGGTCCTAATTTAGCTGGCTCAGAGGTGCCTGCCCGCTAAATTACAACCCCACCTGGAGCTCCTCTCGCCTGATCAGCGCGCCGCTGACTCATCCCTGCTCCCCTGCTTGACTGGCCGCTGCGGGGGGTTTTTTCTTCTTCTTACTTACCTCGCCGAGCGTCGCTGCTGCTCCGGTGTGCGGCGCTCCGAGCGGGGTCATCTGGCAGTCTCCGGCCACCTAAATTAGGACCCGGAGACTGCCAGATGACCCCGCACGGAGTGCTGCACACCGGAGCAGCAGTGACGCGACGCTCGGCGAGGTAAATAAGATGACACCTGGCGGTCACTCGAGTATAAGCCGAGGGGGGCACTTTTCACCCAAAAAAATGGGCTGAAAATCTCGGCTTATACTCGAGTATATACGGTAGGTGTAAATGGGGGACCTACAGGTGTCTAAAATATGTTCACATTGACTTAAAGTGACACTAAACTCAGGAGTTAAAACTTTAAAATACATTCAAGTACCCCAACTATTAACAAAAATTCATTTCAGTTGAAGGAAACCTGTACTAATAGAAAAGGCTGGTATCTTCTGAAAATACTGCCATGCAAAATACTATTCCAATAGCAGTTTGTAAATGTTAAGTGGTACTGTTTATTGGCTAATGTATGTATTAAGAGATGCAAGATTTCAAAACACATTAGGTTGTCTTTGTTAGGCATTATAAATATTGGATCAGAAAACGAGTCTGAATACATAGAGCAACGAGAAAGTATAACCCAACAGGTTAGTGTAAATACGCTGTGTGTTATGCTCTCCATGTAAAATAAATACATTTACTTTCTAATATGGCCTCAACAGTCAACGTTATTGAAACCCCTGAGTTTGTGTTTCCCCGACATAAAGAATGCCAAAAGGAACCAACATGCCCTCCACTGAACTAATGCAAAGAGACTTCTTAGAACAGAAGATATCTACATGTCTTATTCCATTACAAATCCCAAAAATAAGGGGTTGTTCCTCATAGAAGGTAGAGCCATACGATCCTTTGGGGTTGATTTACTAACCTTATAAACACGCCACGAACAGGTATACACCTTGTAGTGTGTTCCCTCCCAGCATGATATATTGGTGGAATCTAGACACCTTTGTAGTGTGTACACACCCAGCAGGTGTGTTGTGCAAAGCCAAGCATGAATTGCAAGGTGATGTTGTGTAAATTAGCTCTACATTGTGTTGCTTGCGTTGATGAATGTACATGCATGAGCTAACCATTTTTGTCTAAACTGTGAAGCAGCATTATATATGCATCATGTGCATGATTTTTCCATATATGGCATTAGTGGAAATATGCTTTTAGAGACTTTTTGGTTGATAAATATGTTTTGCTGTGTGAAAATCACACGCACCTGGTGCGTGCGTGTGTTTAGGTTAGTAAATCACCCCCACTATGTCTGTTCCGCAATAATGGCTTTGCAATCTTCTTTACGCTGTACAATGATCAGCGAATCACCCCCTTTATATCAGTTGGCCACATGTACATCACAAACCACTGATTAATAGCACAGACCCAGTCTAAAATGGCCTACATCAACCAAAAGAACTTCTCCACTAAATCGGTGGAGAAATAATTCCCTTCTTTTGGGGATTTGAATTGCAAGAGAGATCTAGACACCTTCTGCTCTAACTGGGTGCTACTGTGCAACATTGTGTGCTGTGTCATGATGTCACGAGTGTTTTTTGTCCATTGCTGTGCAATGCCAGCCCATTCAAGATTACCAGGCTACCTTAAAGTGACACTAAACTCAGGAGTTAAATCTTTAAAAAAAATTCAAGTACCTTAACTATTAAGAAAAATGTGTCTTATTTTTGCATCACTCAGCTGTAGATCCTCAAATCATCTCTGAATTGGTGCTGACACTGTCCTTCCTTCTGGAGGGTGGCTACTTTGGTTGCCCATGGTCTCTGTGTATGTTGTAAAGTAGCCACCGCCCCAAGCTCACTCCTGTGATGGACTACAATCTCAATATAAATTAGTAAACTAAATGTGAGATTGTAGTCCATCACAGGAGTGAGCTAGGAGCGGTGACTACTTTACAACACACACAGGAACCATGGGGAGCAAAAGTAGCCACCCTCCAGAAAGAAGGGCAGTGTCAGTCACTTTAAATGGAGACATTTGGCTAGCTTTGCAACCAATGCCTTTCCCAAATGTTGTATGCAACCTCAAAGCTATCACATATGGATGCAAATACATATGTGCACTAGAATATTTACTCATCGTGTGAATACCAGTCATTTGCTTTGCAAGGCATTTGAAACACTTTATTAACGCAAAGTGAATGCCTGTTCTTTACGCCCATGTGAATGCAACCTTAAGCTGACCATACACTATAGAGTCTTTTTCATATCTACCACCAACTATGAAATGTAAGGGCAAGTACATTGGATAAGTACTAAACTAATTGTTTTTGTTAGTCTTCATATCACAAAATATTTATACATTTACAGGAGAGTGTACAAAGATCGTACAATCAGATTGTAAGGCGCAGTATCTGGTCACCCTTGGAGAGTGAGTCAGCTCACCTTATGCCATCAGATGTCATATTGCAGAGAACAATAGATGGGAGAGATCTGTACATCCTTGTTAAATTAATGCAACTAGGTAGGATCCAGTGTTAATTATTCCACAACCTTGCAATGTTCTGATGTGGCACAGCTATCGTAGAATATAGTAAAATAATCTCTAAAAACAATCATGAGCACTTCTCATGTTCACAAGTCCCACTCCTGTCACGGAAGACTCTTTCTTCTAGATCCTGTCTCTAATGCTGACCCTCCAGCTTACATATGTGGACAAGTATGTAACAAATACTGTAACAAGTATGCAGATAATAACTGACATTTCTATGGCTTTCCTGATCTGCATACTTGTTCTGAGTTTGTGACTCTGGAAATATTGAAGCCATTGGTTAGCTGTCAGCTATGACACTGTGGGGTCTATTTATAAAAAATTTACAGGGCAAAGGGACCTGGGAATATCTGTGAACAATCATTTTTGGGCAAATAATGCCAAAAATAAACGTTGGTAATATCTTTTTTCCCAGTTCAAATATATTGTGCTGTAATACTATATAATGGCCACTAGATTGAGCTGAGGGGCATAGGAACTACATACTTATTTACAATGCTGATCAGCTGTACCTAGTAGCCAAGGGTCCTGCGAGTTGGTTATAAGCCTGATGAAGGGGACCCTGTGCGGCCCCGAAAGCGCTTGATTCCTTTCGAGTGAATAAAATGAAGATTCACTAAAATCTTTTGTTATTTTGTCGTTTCTGGAGTGCTGGTGACATCCATATCCAACGATTATATCTGATGCGGCGCCATCCGTAGTCATTGCGAGCACCCACATCTCCACATGGGAAGTCCGGTAAGGAGTGCTACAGGTCCTTGGACATTTGTTTATAATGAGACCCCCATCTCTTTTATGACAAGGATTATTTTGATCACTGCTTAATTTTTCCAAGTTATACCACAGCTGCTCATATTGCTTTCCAACAACATACATGTGTTGCCAGCCTTAGGGCTAGTAGGCTATATGTTCACCATGATTCACTTTGAATTGGATGGTGAAATAAAAGCAGAGCACAAGCTTAACCTGAACTTAGCTGATCGCAAATGCCTGTGTACTTTAGCCCTTAAAGTACACCTGACATAAGGGAAATTTGGAGGCTGTGATCGCCGGCCTCCTTCTGAAAATGCTAGTTGTTTAGCTTTGTTTAATTTCAGTACTTCTGAGTCTCATATCTAGGACTAGGACATATCTAGTGGGGGAGAAACTATCTATGTAGTTTCACCACCACTGGGGTGCTGAGGTTGCCTACCCCTGTACTATAGAGTCTTCATTCATTTTAGGTGTGTGACTCAAAGTATTCAAACCATAACTTTTAACAGCTTGCCATGGAGCTGGCATTTTCAGAGGGAGAGGTCAGGAATGACATTGTTCTCAGGACAGGTTTCCTTTGAGATGGCCACACTATGACAGCTGACAGCCCCCATAGCTGTTCACAGCCATTTCCATGTAACCATACATACTGTGATTGCCTTTGGGCAATCACTGCTGGACATCAACTGTGCATTATACGGGAGGACTGTGAGGGCCCTCCAACATCCCAGAGTGCCCAACAGCAGGGAAAAGTGCCGGCTGCTGGGAAAGAGTAATAACATAAGTATGTGTACTTCTTTCTTTTCCGCCCAGCTAAACAAGCATTTAACCCATGCAGTGTATGGATACAGCTGACAGCAGTAAAAAAAAATTAGGTCACTGACCTGAATCATAAGATTGGCTGAACAGAATTACAAAATCTTTAGACAATTATTCACAGATACTGTATGTATTTCAAAGGTGTGGTTAGCTGTTTCCTTGGAGTCCAGCTTTAAAATATAAATATATGGTTTTTCTATCTTCTAAAATTCTAGTTACATTTGTTTAAAATGCAGGATTTGTTTGTTTCTTTTTAGGATTCCATAATGGCTCCTCCAGATAATACCCACCTCCCTCCTCTTGCTGATACGTTTGATGAGGATGAAGCTGAGAGGGACTTTCTTGTGTCCAAGCCTACCTGTTTCCTTATTGTTGGAAAACCAGTAAGTATCGTCTCAGTAGCTATTTATGTTATTTGCTGGCTTCCACTAACTCAGCAATTAAAATGTAAAATCCTAACAACAACATACAAAGCCATCCCCAACTCTTCTTCGGGTTACATCACTGACCTAGTCTAAAAATACCACCCGAACCGTCCTCTTCACTTTTCCCAAGACTTCCTGCTCTCTAGCTTCTTCGTCTCCTCCACTCATGATTCCTCTCCAGAATCAATCCTATCCTCTGGGACTCCCTACCCAAAACCTGTCCAGCTATCTCCTACTCTGTCCACTTTCCTTGAAAACTCATCTGTTCAGGAAACAGTATGCCTCATCTACCTAACAACTGACCGTTTAGATTGTAAGCTCTCATGATCAGGGCCCTCCTAACCATCTTGTCATGAATTGTATCGTAACTGTATTGCCTCCCTTTATTTTGTAAAGCGCTGCGTAAACGGATGGCACTATATACAGTCTTCATAATAATATTATACTATTGTAAATAACCAAGTTGTATGTTTTATTTTTCAGCATTTCCTCTAAGTTACTTTTCTATAATGCGTAAACATTAGTTCTGAAAGCCTTGAGTGTGACCTAGGCACCACTGCAAGACCTCACCTAATACTTATTCCAATTTTCACTTTTAATAAAGGAAAGATGAAGAAATGTTAACTTATCTTTTTTTAACGATTAGCCTGGAGTTATTTAGGATGATCTTCAAGGAACAACGGGAGCATAGAAGCAGGCAGGCAGGGAATCTTCACTAGAATTAGATACACTGGGGGTCATTCAATATAGTACTTACAACACTTTCCTGGTGTTAATGCTGGCTAAGAATATTCTGTGCCAAATTCAGAAAATCAGTGTGACATTTCTAATGCTATTACCAACATTTATTTATTTATATTGGTATTTATATAGCGGTGACAATTTATGCAGCGCTTTACATAGTGCATTCACATTAGTCACTGCCCTTGAGGAGCTTACACTCTAAGGTCCCTATCTCACATGCATACATACAGGACCAATTTAGACAGGAGCCAATTAACCTTCCAACATGTGTGAATAATTAACGTAGTTCTTAATAGCGACACTTTTACAATATGTTACAATGGCTTCAACAATTTAATAAAGACGTGCTGCCATTTCAGAATTAAGGAAACTGGCAGCAAATAAGGCCGATGTTATTTTGGAGTAATTTGTGTAAGGAGCTAACCGTTTTTTCTCCCCCAATGAGCTCCTAGCACCCTGGAAAACTGTGGCCGCCCCTCCAGTTCCAGGGACTGTCCTTAGTTAGTCAGCTATACTACACAATAATATGTATGTCATGGTGTGAGACATTATTATTATTATTATTATACAGTATTTATATAGCGCCAACAGTTTGTGCAGCGCTTTACAATATAAGGAAGACATTACAATCACAATACAATTCAAGACAAAATGGTAAGGAGGGCCCTGCCTGTGAGGGCTTACAATCTAAGAGGGAGGGGGCAAGTGATACATGAGGAGGTAGCTGTGTGGGGATGAATTGTTTGAGAAATAGTTCAATGGCTAGGTTGAGGTGGGATAGGCTTCCCTAAAGAGATGAGTCTTTAGCGATTGCCGAAAAGGAGTCAGAGTGGGAGAAAGACGGACAGGTTGGGGTAGGGAGTTCCAAAGAATGGGAGAGACTAAAGAGAAGTCCTGGAGGCGAGCATGGGAGGTGTTGACAAGAGAGCTAGAGAGTCTTGGGAGGAGCGGAGGGGACGGTTAGGGTGATACTTTGAGACCAGGTTGGAGATGTACCCTGGGACAGAGTTGTGAATGGCTTTGAAAGTGGTTGTTAATATTTTGAATTTTATCGTATGGGTGATTGGAAGCCAGTGCAGGGATTGGCAGAGGAGGGTGGGGGTTGGAAGCCAGTGCAGGGATTGGCAGAGGGGGGTTGCAGATACTGAGAGGTTGGTTAGGTGATAAGTCTGATAGCAGCATTCATGATAGACTGAAGGTGGGATAAAATGTGTAGAGGTAAGCCAATGAGGAGGGAGTTACAATAGTCGAGACGAGAGATTACAAGTGAGTGGATGAGCAGCTTTGTGGTTTCATTGGTGAGGAAGGGATGTATTTTGGAGATGTTACGAAGGTGAAGATGGCAGGATCTGGATAGGGAGGGGATGTGGGGAAGAAAGGTGAGGTCCGAGTCAAGGATGACATCTAGCACCTTGGCATGGGGGGAGGGTTGGATAGTTGTGTTATCAATCATGATCGAAAAGTTGTGGGAGGGTGCGCAGGGGGAGGGAATACCATGAGCTCAGTTTTTGAAAGATTCAGCTTTAGGAAGTGACATAACAGTAATTCTCTCTTTTGAAGGGCACTGGAAAAGCTACACTAGGGAAGAAGATCTCACAGTCATGGAACTGCATTTACATTGAAGGTAATATTATTGATGCTAATAAAGAAAGGTCTATATGCATACTTTACAGGCAGAAAACATAGTCCCTTGATTGGGTTGATAAATATTCAGTGCACAGGCGGTACCTTCTTTCATTATCTTAAAGTAAACCTCAGAAAATAAATATATTGCTTGCTTAGTTTTAAAGACGGTGATGTCATGGTTGTCATTTTGATCATGGCATCATTACCTAATGAGTCAGAGATGTGGAACAAGCATGCAAACAGGACTTGCATGTTCAAATCAATGTATGGGATACTTATTTATTCTATGCAGTTGGGTTGATTTACTAAAGGAGCTGAGAATCTTCACACAATAAAATGTGTGAATATTCACTTTAAATATCCAATCATGTGCAGATGAAATAAGTGAACAGGAATTTGCTTTTCACATAGATAGTAGATCATTGAAATGAATAAATTCCACAATGTATTCCACAATTTATTTTGAAGAGATTTTCAGCTCCTTTGGGATATCAACCTCAGTGTGTTGGATGTTGCAAACATAAAATGGTACCACAAAATGTCTTGGTGAATATCATTGAAATACAGCCCTGGTTGCTTCTTTTATGAAAGTGTCTGAGAGGATTTTTTTCTCCAAAATTTCCCCCATAGCAGCCAGACAGATTCTTACTTTCTTTCCCCCATTTTCAAAGTGAAAATTTGATTGGTTGCTGTGGATCAACAGTGTATTTAGGATGTTTCTACTGTCACACTCACATTAATGAGATCCAGCCAACATTTTCCCAAATCAAGGTTATACTGGTCCATTTAGCTCTGTGATATATTTCGTTTTTTTTTTTATTGAAAAGCACATACCATTTTGAGGCTGCTTAACACATCTCTGGAAACTCATTAATCTCTGCATTATTACAATGGATGGTTTCTACTGAATAGCCCTGTAAATGTATTGTGTAATTATCTCCTGCTAATTAATATATTCTGTAATTATCTTCTGTTACTTTTAATGTGCAGTTAAAGAAAAGTGATGTTAAAATGCATATTTATTACATTTATGTACTACATTTATGTAAAAAGCATTTAATAAATGCATCTAATTAACTTTAGTTCCCATCTTTTGATTGTTTTCCAGCCCAAGAATTGATTAATGAACACATAAAGAGAGGAACTGAACAAGGCAAAATGGTGAGTGAAATCTGTTTTAAACACGAATACAAATTCAGTGGAACAAAGAAAATGTGCTTTTCTAAGCCTAAGGATATAACCAAAGTACCCATATAAGCAAGTAAATGGTCCCATAGACATTAGGTGACGGACTCCAAAAATGGTCCAATTTTGAGTGGATGGTCCAGTGTCTACAAAAGGAGAATGGATGTGTAATTGTCTTTTGGTTTATTATTTGGTTTGTTTTGTCTCTTCATTGAGATTCTGCTATCAAGTGGTGTCTAGTTAATTCATACCGGATAAAATTAAATCCTGGAAGTTTCTCCAGTTAGTTGACATAACTGGTAGATTCATGCTGGATAAGTTAAATCCTGGAGGTTTCTCCAGTTGTTCTTAAGCAGGTTTTTTTCTGGTCTCAGTACTTATGCTTCACCCTGCGTCGGAGATCGTCTTTTTGGACCTATGTTGTATTAGATTATTAAAAAGGTTATGGGAGGTAAAAGTGAACACTTACCTCAGATGCGGAAAAATAAGGATCAATGTCTTAAGCGTGCTCCTTCTTTTCCATCTTTTAAACATTCCATTCGTTCTTCCAAACAGGATTTCCATTCCCAATCTCAAAAGTCATCTGACAATTCCAAATCTTTTGGATCCTCTAGACACCCTTGGCAATCAAAACCCACCAAGCCTTCAGAAAAGTCTTTATCAGCATGAATGTCAACCCCCACTTTTTCCATCTCAGGTGGGGGGACATACGATGGCATTTGCGGAGACCTGGGAAGCTGACATTTCACATGCATGGGTTCAGGAGGTGGTTTTCACAGGTTACAAAATAGAATTTAATCTTCCTCCTCAGTTCTTTGCATCCTGGCTTCCCATGTCTCAGCGGTATCAGACAAACCTTTTTTGCGCAGTTCAAGGTCTGTTGGATCAGGGCATAATCATTCCCGTTCCTTTGGAGGAACATTTTCAGGGTTTCTACTCAAACCTGTTTACAGTTACCAAACCCAACAGAGGCCTTTGTCCGATTCTGATTTCAAAAGCTCTCAATGTGTTTGTCCACATTCAAAAGTTCAGAATGGAATTAATTCGGTCGCTTAACACCTCTCATAACGGGGATTTTTTCATTTCCACCGACATAAAGGAATGGATGCATATCTACTGATTCCTGTTTTTCCAGCTCATCAACGTTTTCTTCATTTTGCTGTAGGTGACATACATTATCAATTTGTGGCTCTTCTTGTTCTCCTTGCTCCAGTTCTGGGGCTTCTTTGTCGCAAGGGAATTCTGATTATTGGATAATTAGATTACCTTTTACTTTGGAACAGTTTCTTCTGATTCTGGAACTCAATAAGGGAAATTTTTCAAAATCTGGAGCAGTTGCCCATGGCAACCAATAAGCTTCTCTGTTCAGTTTACTCAGGTAAGATTTGAAAATGAGAGAGAGAAGCTGATTGGTTGCAGTGCAAATCTGCTCCAGATTTTGTTTGCTCCAGTTTTTGATAAATTCCCCCCAATGTTTCTAAGATTTTGCAGACCTTAGAGTAATTCAGGTGGATTCTGAATATCGAGAAGTTGGCCCTGTGACGGACCCCCGTACTCAGAATGAGTATGTCCACTGCTGTATTCTTCCTTGCTCAGGAGATATTGCAACCAGATGATCTGTAGCTCCCAGTTTCCCCAGTCACTGGTCGAGACTCAAGTGTAGGGTGAAACAAACTCTGATTTATTGAGCAACTGTGCAACCTTTTATACAGCAAGTGATGAGATCAGATTATAATCCCATCACATCCACCCTGCCTTCCCCAGACATTCGGTCTTCACAACACCACAGGGTTTCCCCTGCTAACAAGCTCCAGACAGCCATAGCAGAAGCCTGGCCAGAATGTCATTATCCTGGGCTCCTTCAGAGTACAATGGGAGATAACGAGGAATGGTGCTGTCAGTCTTTTCATACACAAGTTACACATCATAACACACTTAACTATAACCCAACACCAATACACATTTAACTCATAAACTGATCACTATGTCGTCACAGGCCCTAGCTCCGTTGCATCGCTTGGAATACTTGGGTCTTCTGTTGGATGCTTTTCAAGCAAAAGTGTTTCTTCCGCAGTTCAAATTGTTGAAGTTGCGCAATCACGTTTGGTCACTTTGGTCCAGTCGCCGATCTTCTCTGAGAATCTGCAGGAGAGTTGTGGGGTTGATAGTGTCCACCTTCGAAGCAATGCCATTTAGTCAGTTTCATTCCAAGACTTTACAGAGAAACATTCTTACAGCGTGGGACAAGTCTCCTCTTTTGCTAGGCAAGATGATGACATTGGTGCCCCAGCCAAGATGTGTCTGTTGTGGTGGTTGACACCTGGGGAAGTTTTTCCTTCCTATGACTTGAAAGATGGTCATGACGGACGCCAGTCTTGTTGGATGGCTCATAGATCTTCTACTTGTAAAATTTACCACCATGCGAGGAAGACTTATTTTTATTGGTGTGAGTCCTTGAGGTTTTTGTTCTTACTGTAAAATCCTTTTCTCTGAGTCCATTGAAAGACACAGCTCCATTTACTTTCATACTGCTTGCTACAACTGGCATTTGTGAGGTAGTAAGGGTTATGTCCTTAAAGCAGCAGGCTTTTAACTTTTTGCCTAGTGTCCAATTCTCCTGGAGGCAGCAGCATAACCCTACGTCTCAGAATTCTTCAAAGCTGTGTCCCTCTATGAGGAGTGTCACCTATCCTGCTAAACTAAAAAAAAAAAGGATTTTACGGTAAGAACAAAATCTTGGTTGTTTCAATGAAGTCTCCAATGAAGCTTGCATGTAATCGTTATTACATAGCTAACAAAGTGATCACAGGATTGGGAACCATGCTTACTAGTTCCTGGTTGCCAGCTGGGGCCTGAGCTGTCAGTGAGAGCCGAGACTAAGAACTACTAGCTGGACTAAGTGTAGGCTCTCAAGGAAGAGAACGTTTATAAACAAACAGTAAGAACAAAGGGGTTAATGAAAGCTGCTTTCTTTTTCTATTTTAATCATAGCCCATACATTTTGAGGTTTTAGCAGGACAGGTGACACTCCTTATAGTGGTCACTACAGATGGATGGTGCTGGGAACTTAACAGAAGAAATATTACCTCAGGAGTTGCCTCAGATATATAAAATTGTGTGGTCAAACTTGTCTGCATGAACCCTGAATTGAAATATCTTTTTGTGACTAGACAGATTGTACAAAGGCAAATTCAAGCTTATACCATATAGTTTTCAAACAATACAGATGTGCAAAATGGCCATTTACCTATTGAAATTAGATATATTGGATATTGCCTTCATGTAAGTGAAGAATTTGTTCAAGCATGGAAAAGCATACCCAAATCACATACATAAGCCTAGGCAGACCAGTTTGCTACCTTTTGGTTCACAATCCTTATATATTTATGTGAAAGAAAAAAAGACTCTTATATTTCTTAGGGACTCCAGTAAAGAGATCCCTACTTCAGCAGAAGGTAAAAGTACATGGAATGTGGTGGTGGCTGGCAGAGATTATTCACTAAAGAGCAGAAGGATGTAGCCAAACTTTCGGCTAATCCTCCGGCTCGCTTCGGCTGCAGCAACCTATCGGTTTAGCCGAACTGAAGGGCTGCTGTACGCACAATTCTCAATAGCGCGTACAGCAGCCAAAGGCAGCCGAAGCACACAGCCGAGCCGAACACACATGCTTTGGCTCGGCAAAGCCGAACACACAGCCGGAGCAGAGAGAACGGTCCGCCAAAGCCGACAGAGTCCCTGCTAGTTGTTAAAAAATAGAATTGAAAAAACAGTGTGTGGTTCCCCTCCCCAATTCATACCAGACCCTTTAGGTCTGGTAGGAATGTTAGGAGGGACCCTCGATGTATAAAAAAAAAAAAGAAAAAGCGTGGGGTTCCCCTACAAATTTATTCATACCAGACCCTTAATCCGTGCAGTGGCCTGTCAAGGCAGGAACGTGGGGCTGAGTGAGCGTCTGCCCCCCGCATCATACCAGGCCACATGCCCTCAACATTGGGAGGATGTTTTTCCAGGGGGGGAACTCTCTGATGTTCGGGAAGGAACTGCCGAACGTTCGACTCGGATGTTGCTGAGGTGAATAGGTTCTTCCCTTCGGTTTGCCTGAATGTGCAGAGGCTGTTTGGCCTTCACTTCAGCAGCTTAGTGAACAACCCCTAAGTAATTCAGACCGCTAGCATCCACCTGTTATTGAAGTATCAATTTTAAGTGGACTGACCATTTAAAGAAACCTAGTAATTGGTCATATGTAAAGGAAAGCGACAGTCTGTAAAATCACTTTGCACAAATTCTATTATTGATGACACAAGCAGCTGAAGATAAATTCATTGCTTAATACTTAATACTAAGAGCTGTTATACTTTAATCCTTCTCATGTTGAAACACAGATTCTAGAACTCCTGTACAAAGGTCTAAGCGTTCAGGATGAATTAATAGTACAGATGATTGTGGACAAGATTAATTCAGAAGAGGTTGCCCATTACGGTATGTATTTGTTTTATATTTAAGATGTTTATACATGGCTGTTTTCTGTGCACCTGCAATGAATTGAATAGACCAGTGATGTGTAACCTGTGGTGCAAACTAGCATACCGAGTCTCAAAATCTATTTGCAGGGTTCCTAAATGCCATTCACAGTCATTCACAAGCTTACAAATGGGAGCCTAGAAGTAAGGTTATATTTTATGGCACTTTTCATGTGAGTTCTTCTTGTTTGGGTGAGCATAGACTAGAGCCTAGCTGGGCAACCTGTGAATCAAACCTCCAAATACATTTTGGGACCACCAGATTGTTAGAACATACTGTATATTCATTCAACAGGTTCATAACAAGAAATATAATGTGGGAGTGTCAAAAATGCTAAGTTGGGGATATAAGAAAATTGCACTCCCACTTTTAGGGCCGCAACATAAAATAGGCTGAGCAACTCTGACCTAGAGTCATCATAGTACAAGCCTTGAAAAGCTAAATTAAGAAAACAATTACTGCAAAGCAATAAGGCTTTTCACTTTTCTTTTTGATTTACATCTGTAAAAAATAAGTCAAGGCAACTGGGCCTGCTGTATTTTTCTTGAAGACGTTTCACTGGTCATCCAACCAACTTTCGCAAATGTTGGATGGATGACCAGTGAAACACCTTCAAGAAAAGTACAGCAAGTCCAGTTGCCTTGACTTATTTTTTACAGATATACCATGACCTGGATGAATGAGAACCTTCACAGACTTTTTTTTGATTTACAGTTAAAGTGAAACTTCAGACAAAGCTTTGGATAGGGTGTGGAATGTCTAACACCTCCGCCAGTTTTTTTTTTTTTAATGCTGTCACTGGGACAGGAAGTGAGGGAAAGCTTCTCCAGTGAACACAGACAGACAGTCAAAACATGACAAGGCATTCAACGCTTCCATTACACTTATCACCATGAAAAAAGTTTTGTCTGGCGTTACATTATAAGGATTTTCCTTACAATAACAGACTATAGTGTATGTAAACCCTAAAAATTACCATCTACAGTATTTGCTCCCCTTTGGCCTGTTAAATATATAATTTAAAGCATTTTATTATATCTGTACAATAAGTGCAGAAAAAAAAACCTGTTGATTCTGCCACAGATCTTCCTCTTTTTTTTTGCCTTTCCTGACTGTTATTGGTATGCATTGTTCTCAATTCTTTCTGTGGACAGAAACATTGCCTCCTTGTTCTGGAGAAGGGTGGAGGGGGAGGTGTTCTCTAGCCCTAGACTTCCTTCCGAGGGTGTGTAACGGCCACCGCCGTATACCTTGATGATCGGGAGCCAGCCACATCTCGGATCCGCCGCTGCGTTCCACGGAGGAACGCACGCTCGTCACTTCCGGGTTAGAAGGCCGGGTGCGTTCCACTCTGGAACGCGGAAGTGCGCCTATCCGTTCGGCGGCTCCTCCCCAAACAGTACAGCACTATATAAGAGCCCAGACGAGACAGCATGGCGTTCCACTATTGAGCCAGAACGCCTGCTGTCTCCTGGGACCCTCCATTGCCTCCAGCATACTCCTGCCTGCTTCCCTTCCTGGAAACCGGACCGCTAAGGACCCACAGCTCTCCTCCTCCACATCAACCCTCAAAACTGCAAGTATTCAGGGCTGTTGCACACCCTTCATTAGAGACTGTATAGGCTAGCTGCAAATTGCATTGAGGCTTGTTACTTGCTTGGAACCTGGACTACTACTGTACTGTTTTGTACCTCTCCCATCTGCTAAACCAGTATATCCCTATTACTTTGGTGCCCTGGGGTAGGGCTTATGAAGAAATAAGCTCACTCTAAAACCACCGTTTAGTTAGATATAGGCTGTGATGCAAGAAACCCTAACTCTCTGTTGTTAAGAGAGTGAAACCAGGGTTTCACTGACTGAGAAGCCTCCGCAGTTGCGATCCACCACCCCTTCATCCCCAACAGGTGTGACATACGTGACAGAATAGTGGAACCCGTGTAAATGGATCCAGCGGAGCTAGCGCAACACCTTGTCGGACTCTCACAAAGGGTCGAAACACTTTCAGCCTCCATGCAGGAGCTTCGGGTCAAGAATGAGACCCTCCGACTTCGCGTTAATCAAAACGCCAACGCCTCCCCTCACGGAGAGCGTCCAGAGCCAAAGGTCTGCCCCCCTGACCCTTTTTCTGGAGACCGAAAATTCTACCGCCAATTCGTGAGCTCCTGTACCTTAATGTTTGAGCTACAACCACGCACCTTCTAAGAGAGTGAAACCAGGGTTTCACTGACTGAGAAGCCTCCGCAGTTGCGATCCACAACCCCTTCATCCTCAACAGGTGTGACATACGTGACAGGGTGACAACACTGCTCCTCCCTAGATACAGTGAGTGAGCCCTGTCGCCCTAGGACAGAAAGTGTGCTGCTGGCAGGATCTACAAAAAATACAACTAATGCAACCATTCAAGGTCTAATAAGCTTCACTATATTGTATTTTTGTGTGTTGTTTGGATACACATTAAGTGAATTGCCCACTATGCAGCCTAGAGGTTTTGCTACTAAGGGGTCAGATTAATTTCCATGGCTGGTGAACGTCATCCATTTGTATGTAAGCATCTTGCATTCTCCAAATTAAATATGTCTAAATTTAATTTTACCCTTAGCCCTAAAGTTTACTCTAACTGGAATGATAGCCTAAAGCTTTCAGTGACTTGTGTGCAACTGTGTGAGTGCGATAAAGCATGAACTGTCTTCACACTGTTACAGGAATCAGCCAGTTGGTTCCTCCACAATATTTCTGCAGGGGCAGTAAGGCTCCATGTTTCTCTAGCATCAAGCACATTGGATGAAAATAGAAAAAATAAAGTTTTGGAACAAGAACAAAGGCTGGCAAAGAAGACTATGGATTATATATTATAGGGATGTCCAGATACCAAGAATCGTACTTAGTACAAATACTGATGTTCCAGCTCCAAGACTAGACCAAGTAGAAAGACCAAGTACAAGTACTGATACTTGTCCAAGTGCTCACAGATACCAATTACTGATACATTTTGGTTAATTTTAATTTGGCAGTTTTCTTAAAACACTACAAACTAATGATTTTAGGTACAGTGGTGGAGCGCCAGGGCCCAGTCACAGCTGCAACCCTGGTGGTTTTCTTGAAAATGCCAAGTATCTGCACTGGTATCTGAACTGGTATCTGAACATCCCAAATATATTATATATGAATAGCAAATTATGGAAAATTGATGCAGCAAATGGCTACATTGTAAAAAGAGCAGAATTTTATGAAAAGGCCATTGTGTCACAATCCGAGATTTAGACCCTGCTCCTTAGAGCGACTGCTTTCCCCGGGAGTGGAATCTAAGAATGGAGTCTCACCTTGGACTTAGATGCAGACTACAACAAGGTATCTCACAGATGAGGAGGAGAATAGGTGCCGGTTAACGAGGAACTGGAACATGAGAAAGAACCAAGGCACTGGGCAGATTAAGGGCTTTTTCACACCATTTTCAGACCCAATCCGGACCAGAAAGTTTTTTTCAAAAACCCATCCCCATCTATTCCTAGCTATAGTATTTCTGAGCTTAGGTCACACCACTGCGTTCAGTTACAGTGCGTTTAAAAGAATGACTGCATGCACTATTTTTTTCTGGTCTGGAACATACAAAAATGCATGTAAACACATGCAAATGCACTGTAATGCAGCTGAAAGCCTATTGACACTGAAAAAAAGCACCAGAACGCACTGTAACAAATCAAAAACATGTCAAAAATGCATACAAAAAGGAACTGCACAGCATATGCAGGAACACGTGCAGTTCTGGTCTGAACATGGTGTGAACAAGCCCTTTAGCAGTGGTTAATTTGGAGGCTGTGAGTGCAGAGGAGGCACAGGGGAGGTTTTATATTTAGATGCCACAGAGACTTTGGGTGCTGAGGAAGTGCAGCAGAGACTCGGATTGTGAATGCAGCAGACAGCGCTGGAGCAGTGGAGGCTGTGGCTGTGGGTGCTGCAGAGGCTGCGGGAGCAGCAGAAGTGCCTTGAAGGCTGCTGGTGCAGTTTGGACTGTGGATGCAGCTAGGGTGAAACAGAGATGTGACTTAGACTGTGGATACAGTTGAGGTGCAGCAGAAGCTGCATGTACAGGGGAGACTACAGGTGTACTGTAGCTGTGTTGCACCAGAGGCTTCAAGGACAGTGAGGATGCAGCAGAGTCTGTGGGTACTCAAAACAGAGAGAGACAAAGTCATTTCTGGAAGATGCCATTCTGCAGCACCTGGCTTAGTCTACCCTCCCAAAAGCTGTTCTAGACATAGGTAAACAGACCAGAGTGTAGGAGCTGGTACCTTTGTTTTCAAGTAACAAGAGGTTCAGAGAGGCATTTGATTTATCTTAACCCCTTTGAGGTTACTGGAAATAAAAAGGTGGAAAGTTCAGGTGCTGTTAACATAAGTTTTTTGCCTTTACAATTTTCTGTCCCTGTAATGGCCCCATTATTTTACAGTGACAGCTGCACAGCATCTATTTTTTTTTTAAATCTGTGGTGAACTCTCTTTTGTGTGTCTGTACCTATTCCAAGTTGTATTTATAAATTCTTTGTGTTTTTATGTCCTGGACATTGCTTGGTCTCTGTGGATGGGTAGGTCTCTTGTATGTTATAAACAGAACTTGCCAGCAATTGTGTGCTAGGCATTGCTTAACAATATAGTCTGGTGCATCCTTCACAGTTCTCCATTGTTCTCATTTTATGTAATTCTTTTTCCACATAGACTTTACAAAAAGAGCCTTGTTTGATAAAAAAACGCTATTGGAAACCACTGCTTTGGACCTTGACCTTTCTATATTCCAGTCATCTAAAACCTTAAATAAAACCACTCATGGGAGCAAAGGGCTTCCTGCATTCTAGAAATTTTCAGTACAGTCTTCTTTTCTGTTCATTGGTTCTGAGAACAGTTACTTGAGGAGGCATTCGTCGCCAAGAAACGAACAATTACCAAGTTATAAGTATAAACAGTTTAAAATGATTTAGCATCACTGAAATTCACAGTCAAGCTGCAGTATAGGGCACCTAGTCTCTATAAGGCAATAGTTATATGATATTCCAAGCCAATTGCATTTCTATGGTGTAGTTAAATAGAACATAATGAGAGTCAACCGGATGGAAGGAAATGAATGAAGGGACACAAATAAATATGAATCGGAGAGGGTGTCACCCCCTCTGAAAAGTCGGGCACTGACAGTTGCACGAGAGAGAAGGGGATCTGGCGGCATACCTTATTCCGCCGGGTGAACGTCCTCTCCTCTCTTTGCTGGCGTCCATCACCTAGATAGCCACCGGTAGGTAAGTGTGCGTGACCTCATCATGTGCATGCACAATGATGTTCTGTGTCCTATACTGTTCTACAAGAATTTTGTTTTACAGTTAAGCCAAAAATACTACGTTCTTGTTTGTACAGTACATAACACAGAGATTATGATGAATGGGCCATCCAAAAGCAATCAGAAGAGGGGTGGGACCAGAAACAGCCATCTGCGCGTACAGAATAGGATACCTATTCTACTGCCTGCAGGACCCTGCAGCCAAAATCAGCATCAGCTGACGCCTGCAAATCCACCCTGTAAAATATTGTTAAAATATAAACTGTTGACCAAGTAGCTGTCTTGCAATCCATTGAACAGAAGCCTGATGAGAAAAAGCCCATGATGAGCCTTAACTGAAAAAAGGCAGGGACATATCATTTACTAGCATCAGCTTGTAGAGTGATCTGTCTAATCCAATGAGCTACAGAGGAAAGAGAAACCGCAAATCCTTTGCGGGATCCTGTCGGAAAAATAAACAGCAAGTCCAACTGACGAAAGGAAGTGGTAGCGCCTAGATAGTTCCATAAAGCCCTTACAACAATCAACAAATGTAACAATTCTTCCCTAGGATATTGTAGTTCTGGGAAAGAAAAGAGGGCAACACAATCAGGGCTGGATTTGCTCTCCCTGCCGCCCCATTTATTTTTTACTTTTTAATCACTTTTTTTTTATTTTTAAACATTAATTATTCTTATTTTTTTTTATTATTATTTTTTATCAATTTTTTTTCACTTAACTTTATTGCTACCACACAGGAGAAAACAATCCCCTGTGTGATAGCAATTGGAGGTGACAGGTTCTCTTTATTGACCCTGTCACCTCCAATACAGGAGCTCCAGCACAGTATTGTGCTGGAACTCCTGTGACAGGTGAGAGGGGACGAGCACAGCTCTCCCCTCTCACTGTGTACACGGAGCGGCAGGGTTAGTTTTAACCCCCCAAGTGAATTGAGTTTGAGACCCCTGCTCTACAGTGATGAAGCTTTAGCATTAACACATAAGATAATCACATAAGGAAAAGGAATTAAACAGTAAACTCTGAGCTACAAATTTTGATGTCTTCCGTACAGCTTGCCACACACAGTTCAAGCTGATTGTACAATCTCCTTTAGATTTTCTAACAATTATGTAGTGCAAGGACCTACCTAACCTATCCAAGTCAGGTAAACCTTTACACTACATAGCTATTGATTAACCTAAAGTAGAGTGTACCATCAAATTGTAATGTGAATGGCCAGTTTAAGGTAAGTACACAAATCTTTTGAAATCTGACTATTATTCGCCTAGCCATTTATTGCATTGCTTTGGATAAAGCAAGGTCCAGTTTTCTTTTCGGCTTATATGGATAAGACAAGTCCAAAATGAATGAAAGTGCTAATATTTCCTTTTTAATTCTTGCTTAAGGTTATGTATTTTGTGGACTTCCATCACTGTCTGAAGAATATATGAAGATTACTGAACAGATCAGCCTAATAAAAAATTTAAAATTAAAGCCAGATGTCATCATAAATATTAAGGTAATATATAAGCACTGAAAACTATTTATGGCTACCTACAGTATGTAAATCTTTCCTGACTCTAGACAGAGCATACATGTTATGTTGTGCTACATATTGGTACACCATTATCTGTATATACTGTAGACCATCTGCCTTCTGGAAGCATGCTATCAGCTAACTTCCATCATTCATTTGTGACTAGAAATGAAGACCATGGAGCACAGGCTGGCCACCCTTTCATAACTAAAGATCACTGGGACTGGACACTTTGATAATATGACAAAGTCTGCCTTATGAAATGATGGTGCTTTGGTCATTAATAGCTGAAACCCCTTTACTTGTAATGTATTACCAATTATAATATAGGATTTATGTTTAATGTTTGTAAAAAACTGATTTTAAGCAAAAAGCAAAAGTTTCAGGTTAAGACATTATGCAGTAATTTTGAAGATTAATATAAACATTGCACAGCTTTCTAAAGATTGCTTTTTGTTGTACCATCTTTTTTTTTTTTTAAATGTTTACCTATTCATAATATAAGCACCATTTGAAACACAGTCACAGTCTTGAGCCACTGAAGTCACATGAGACATATTAGCACAGCCTAAAGACGCTGAGACTTGCATCCTGTTTTATCCCTTTGCCTTTTTTTCTTGTTGTATGTAATTGTGTATAATTTTACTGTTAAACACTGACTAACCATTCAGCGCACTCATCCAATGCCTATTTAACTAAAGTGTCCAGACAAAGATTTGAGCAAAAGACTGGCAGGACAGAAGCAGGATCCAGAAACCGGCTCAGTTTATCAGTGTGAAGACTGGGATCCAGCATTTAAAGAGAAAAATAGAAAATCCCAGGAAGGAGAAGGAGAAGAAGAAGAGGAAGAAGAGCTTGAAGAAGAGGTAACAATATTAAATGTATTTACATAGTTACATAGTTGTTACGATTGAATAAAGACCATTGAGTTCAACCTTTTGGATTTTGTGTGTGATTGTGTGTGTGTCTGTTTGTGTTTGTTACTAAGATTACCTGTACCCCTGTATATCTTGTGCGCTGAGAAAAGTATCTCGATAGTTCTTGAATGATTCTACACTCTCAGCTGATTCCACTGTCTGTGGAAGGGAGTTCCACAATTTTACAGCTCTCATAGTAAAGAATCCCCTTCGCTGTTTAAGATTAAACCTTTTCTCTGCCAGTTTCAGGTGGTGGCCGCTTGTATTCTTGACTGACAGTAAACAGTTTATTGCTGTTTATCCCATCATCATTAAACAATTTGTACATTAATATCACGTCCCCTCTAAGTCTTCAAGTTTAACTGAACAAGTTTAACGCTTGCAGTCTTTCCTCATAGTTTAGGTCCTCTAACCCCTTTTATTAACTTTGTTTGCCTTCTCCGGGCTCTCTCCAGCTCAAAGACATCCCTTCTGTTGATCGGTGACCAAAACTGAACCGCACATTCAAGATGTGGCCGGGCCAGTGTTTTGTACAGGGTTAGAATTATGGATTTGTCTTTACAGTACATACTCTTTTTTTATACATGATAGTACCCTGCTCGCCTTATTTGCTGCTGCCTGGCTTCGCATGCTGTTACTAAGGTGACAGTCCACTAGGACTCCCAAATCTTTTTCCACCTCTAATTCCCCCAGTGGAACGCCCATTAATGAGTAGCTCGCTCTCGTATTTTTAACTCCAATATGCATAACTTTACACCATCTGCTATGTAGATGGCCACCCCCCTATTTTATGCAAATCTTCCTGTAATATTTCTATGTCTTCTGTGGCGTTTACTACCCTACAAATTTTGGTATTGTACGCAAAAATGTAAATATTGCCATGAATAGCAGTCCCAATATCATTGCTAAACAGGTTGAACAGCAATGGCTCCAAGGCAGAACCCCGTGGCACGCCACTGTCAACCGAGGACCACTTACAAAATGAGCCATTTATTGACACTCTCTGGACACGTTCACTTAGCCAGTTCTCTATTTAAGTACACACCATTTCATCAATGCCAGAGAGTTATACTTTTTTTTTTTAAATAATGGTTTTGTGTTTTCACCTGTTTATGGTAGAGAATATGAAAAACATAATAAAAATGACAGCAAGTAAAGTTTATTGTAAAATATTCTAGCAACCAGATTACAGTTTAATGAAGTTAGATCAGAAAAATATAAGTACATCTTAAGGCTCCTGTGTGACTGTCTAAACAGTTACTATGCATTGCACATGGCTCGTAAAGTAAAAGAAAACACTTATATTACCACCTCTAAGTAAGTTAAACCCTAATTTATTTGTATCTCATATACTCCCCCTCCCAGACACTGCAGTTCACATTGGGAGGGTTTCAGCAGCAGAGGCAGTCCTGTCAATCCAGAAAATGTTGGGTGGCACTAGGTGTGGCCAACTACTAATTGACAAGCTACAGCTTGTCAATCAGCAGTGCCAGTGCTTATAGCCACACCCCCTGCAACATTTATTTATCCCACTATAGTGCAAGAAGGCACAGCCTACATGAGGGTGGTAACCCTGCTCTGAATTCAGTAGCAGTGCAGCAACGTTGTCACCTCATCACAAGAAGTTGCATAAAGTGGACTTCACTGGCAGGATCAATAGGTATTTGTGAGACTTTGCAGCAGTATTAAGGGAAAACATATACACCTTCAAGGGCTGTAAGAATGTATTTTTTATGGGAGGCCAAAGTATTACGTAATTCTGATTGGTTGCTACTAGAGCTGGATTTGCCATTATGCATACTAGGTTTGTGCCCATAGATGACAGAGACTGAAAGGTGGCTTTCTCCACTGTAGTTATGACCACACTTATAAGTCTTATCTGGAAAGCTTACTGACAAAGTCACATTACTTGTATACACAAGATTTTCTTGTCTACAAGGTCCAATGATAAAAATTCAGACCTGTTTGCTACCAAGTGTTGCACATTTTGTGTTGGTCCACATTAAATAAACCTTTTAATGCAAGCCCTTCAGAGTATTTATTGCTCTCATCAGCCTGATCAAAATTACTCATTGCTCACAACAGTTTAATGTGACATATGATCCAGTTTGAAACTAGGTCCTATTTCACTCCATAAGGAGCTTAGTCATATAGCAGTTAAAGGGAGGAGCTAGTTTGGGCAATTTCAAGACCTGTCATAAGCGAGAACTATGGTAAGCCTATATTGGAACAATAAAATAATTTGTTATTATGCGTTCATTTAGGGAGAAGAAACTGAGAACATAAAAGAAATCTTGGATCGGCTTGTGCATAGACCTGAGGATTTCCCTGAAAATGTTGAGGAACGTATACGACTTTACAAAGACACTATACTACGCCCTGTGGAGGTGATGCCTTTGTGCGCTTTATTATATGTATTTGCATTTGAAAGACACTGTATGTGTATGCACACCGTTATAGAATACCTCCATCAAAGACTACAAAACTTATAGTAGGTTGAAAAGTTTTAATGATACATGCAGGTCTGTGAGATCTGTGCTGCTGCTCTGGTCAAAGAAATCTTGGTGGAAGACTACTCCAACAACCACTGTTTATGGGTAAATAAAGACAATAACTTTTATACCTAATGTAGACTTTTCAAGTGATGGCTTCAAGGACAAAAAGGTCAATGTCATTCATATAGATGCTGATTTTTTAATTTTTGCATTATTTAAACTATTTAATTTTCATGTGCCCTGCAGTGAAGGCCAACCTTTGATGAGGTTAAGGGTTCATGTCGAAGGCTGTTCCAGTCAAATGCTGTGTTTTCCATTGGAATGAATAGAGCTGTGCATGAATAGAAAACGGAGCATTTGTCAGGAATAGGCTGTGTTTGACCTGCTTTGCCTACAGTTCAAACATAGCTTATTAGGACATGGTGCATCTTAAGGAATGCAAAGCAGATCAAATGCAGCTTCCAACTGCAATGTGTGCTGCTCGGTTAAAGTCTATGAGATTTTGGTGACCTGCTTTTGACATGCAAGCAACTCCTGTTGACATGAGCACTTTATGTATACTAGGGTTGCACAGATACCAAGTACAGTACTCGGTACAAGTACGAGTACATGTACCGATACTTTTGAGCTCCAAGACTACACTAGAGAAAAATTCAAAAATTAGGAGCCAGCTGTCATTTGTAAGGAGCACACGGAGCTCCCGGGATTTGTACATCTCTGTTTTAATGTACGATTTTGTTTTTATAAATATAAATAAAGGGATGCACAGATACCAGTTTTGTGAGTACGAGTACTGGTACTTGCCGAGTACTTACAAGTACGAGTACTGATACATTTTTGTTTATTGTCATGTGACAGTTTTTCTAAAACAATACAGACTAATGATTTCAGGACAGTGGTGGAGCGCCAGAACCAGGTCCCAGCTGCAACCGCTGCAGCCCTGGTAGTTCTCATTAAAATGCCAAGTATCTGCACTGGTACTCGAAAAGTATCTGTGCATCCCTAATGTATACAGATTATGGTATTTAGGAACCATCAGTGAAGAGAGATTTGATACCAACTGCAGAAACCATAATAATATATATTATAAAAATCAGATATTCTAAACCACAAGTTCACAAATATCTATGATGGCTACGTTTATAATTGACTTTGTGTCATGATCTTGAGATAATAGTAATTGCAAATTTTATTTTTTATTTTCCTTTGTGTGAAACATATACTGAAAATGGCATTGTGGCGATGACCCATGGATGTTTCAAAGTGTATAAATCCATGCATTTCAACATATTAAAATGGACATTTTACCCATGGTGCCAATCTGTCTAAAGCCCTCCCCAATTCTGCTTACAGTTGGGTTATACTCTCAATATACTGCGATTCCTCAACAGTTTTTAGTGTGTAAAATGTTAGCATACTCTCAATTTATCTTGCTGGAGGCATTAAAATGTCATCAGTTTGAATGTCTTACAATAGATCATGTAGATATTAACATACAGGAAATTGGTGCCCTAAAAAAGAATAGTGTCCTGCATTTTATGTGTGTAGCCACAGGCGTTCTTGTAATTATATAGAATGTATACAGTTATTTTTATATTTTCATATTTAGGAATTTCACTTTTCTCTTCAGAGATAAAAAAATAAAATGTTCAAAATTATTTTCTCTATTGTCTATTGAGGGACAGAGCTTGATGATACTTAAACAACCTTGGGTTATACTACTGCCTACAGGAGAAATGGACACTAGGAGGCACTTCCACACCACACCTGCCCACTTTGGTTAGTGTCCCCAGGACAGTGGAAGTGTTTTCTTTTGCTCTGCTGTTTTTTCTGTTTTTTGGAATACCTTACTGCTATCAACAGCTACTGTTAGATTCAAGCTGGATACCAACATCCTGGAAGCCTCTCCAGTCAAGCAACAGTGCAGGTTTTTCCCAGTTCATTAAGCATACTGGTGTTATCTCTGCAACAGCTCAGAATTCTTGGAAGGTTCTCCTGTCAGCCAAGAAGCACAGATTTTCTGAGTCCATTAAGTATACTGGTGTTCTCTCTGCAACGGTGACAACAACACGATTGTGACTGTTCTTATAGCTCCTCCCATCCCCATACCCGCCCCGACCCTTTTTCATTTCTGCGTGCTCTTTCCTAGCAGAGTTAATTTCCTCTGTTATGCAAGGCTTTATAACTCAGCTTGTTAGGTTTTTAATGTCCACAACTGCCTTCCCCAGCAAAAGCCAAGACAGAAATGCCTTATATTTCCGATTATGATGGGGACCTACAAAAATCTCACATTTAGCTTACTAATTTGTATTGAGATTGTAGTCCATCACGGGAGCGAGCTTGGAGCGGTGATTACTGTACAACATACACAGGGACCATGGGGAAGAAAAGCGACCCTCCAGAAGAAAAGTCAGTGTCAGCACCAATTCAGAGATGATTTGAGTATCTGCAGCTGAGTAATACACAAATTCTGTAAGGTCCATTTTTGTAGTTAATTTACTTGAATACATATTTAAGATTTCATTTCTGAGTTTAGTGTCACTTAAACACAAGGAAGATTAGCAGGATAATGTTTTTTTCTTGTCTATTTTAATTTGAATATTAATGTACTGTACATTTGAGGAAGACTAATAGTTTGTTGTATTATAGGATCTAATGATTGATCATGACCCTCAATATGTAATAGAACTTGATGGAAATAAGAAGCCTGAAGAATTATTTGTGGTACGTTGCCCTAATTTTTCTGTAAATAGCAATTGTTACTAGATAGAGAATGTACTGATGTCCACATTTTGTTTTGTACAAAACGTTTATGCTGTAATTCCTTGTCATTTCTTGGTATGCACCTGATTGTTTGCTACAATAATTCTAACACAACTAATCGATATATATTTCTGTTCTGTTATACCATATCACATACCTGGTGGGAGACCAGTAGGACAAGGAGGCTTCTTGAAGTGGGAACAGGGGGTGCAGAGGACAGCAAGGAGCACGAGTGCCAGTGGATGGTCAAGCGAAGCCAGAGGTCAAGCGAAGTACAAAGTCGATAGGCAAGGCAGAGTCCAGTAATCAGCCCAAGGTCAGGAGGCAGGCAGCAAGCAAGAGAAGTCAAAGCAATCTGGGTAAAAAACGAGCAGCAGGCAGTCAGACAGGGTAACTGATCACAGGAAGCAAAAGCTGAAGACCATCAGCAACCTGGTTAGGGCAGGTTCGTTTATATAGACCAGTCCATTAAAGTGACGGCATTACTTCCTGTGTGACTGACGTGTGCGCCCGTCCGTGCACTTCCTGTTGCGCGTCTTTGCGCACAGTTCCTGTTGCTCGCATTTGTGCACTAGAGCATGTTTCCCAGCAACACGAAGTATAGGCCCACGGGCATGCGCGGGAACCATCTTTACCTTACATACCCCTTCAGTGCCCTTTTCAATTGGTAATCACACAGAAAGCCCCACCTTATAAAGGGAAATAATGGAAATGCACATTATTATGTTTCATGATTTACATTGCAGTCTGTGTCGGCTCGTCTTGAATATTTGAGTCTGCGTCATGGAGCTGTGGTGATTAAACTCTACAACCCTGAAGAGGAAGATTCAACAGAAGGGCTGGAAGATGTAAGTAAGGGCTCCTTAAACTTTTTAAACAATGAGCCAGTTCCCTGTATTAGTGGTCAGTAGTTGTAAAAAATGCCCATTGGTCAGTGGGAATTATAAATGCCCCTGTATCGGTGGTCATTGGGAGTAATAAATAGCCCGGCATGGGAGAGGAGTAATGCCCTATTGTTGCTATCACTGGGAGGAATAGTTTCTCATTATTGGTGTCAGTTTGATTAGGACAACAACTCCCTCCAGCACTGGTGCTCAGTGGAATTGGAAGAGAGCCCTCTCCCCAGCACTGGGGTTCAGTAGGATTAGGAAAGCACTTTCCTAGCACTGCTGTTTAGCGACACTTAACTTTATATAGGCTCCGTGTCCTGTGCCACCCCTTGTGATGACACCATGTCACGGCAATCCAGCATCAAGTACTCAATGTCATTCAGCACCTTCCTTGTAATAGGAAATCCCTGCGTGCAGGGTCTTTCTGATTGAGGGGGGTTGGTTTACAGCAGCCAATGTATTTGGTAATAGACATATCTTAAGTAGAGATACACCAATACTGATACTAGTATCAGTGCCGATACAGAGCATTTGGGCGAGTACTTATACTCGCCGAAATGCTCCGATACATACCCCCGATACTGGAACTTCAGGTCAGAGAGACCCTGTGACCGGCAGTGCTGCGAGGGTGCATGGAGACGGCTTCCCGGCCAATCAGGAAGCCGTGTGGCGGGTTATGACCCGCCTCCTGATTTCCTAATTGGCTAGAAAGCCGGCGTCACTTATTGCTAGAGAGCCCGGCTTCCTGACCAATCAGGAAGCTGGGCAGCACATCATGGCGCGCTGCCCAGCTCCCAATACCGGCATCCGTGGGCCGGGCTTCCTGATTGACTTGAAAGAACACCGGCTTCAAGTTCCGAGGCAGCCTGGCTTCCAACCGGAAGCCGGGCTGTGGGTCATTACTTGCCGCCCCGCTTCCTGATTGGCTAGAAAGCCAGCTTCACTTATTGCTAGGCAGCCTGGGTTCCTGAGCAGCCATGACCTGCTGCCCAGCTTCCAATACCGGTGTTCTGTCGAGAATGCCAACCCAGTCGAATTTGCCGACCTCATCATCTGCGCTTGCGCACAGACGGGATTAACGAGCAAACAGGAATTTATTTACAAAGTATTCATTTGTAATTGTTAATTACAATAATATGATAATATGACATCCATGGCAGCAAATGGTGGATGGCATTTTATGCACATTCACAATTAACATTGCAAGCATTTACATTATTACAAATATCATAAAATGCCATCCATTATTTACTGCCATGGATAACATATTATTAACGATCACAATTAACAATTAAGACAAAATACTTTGTAAACAAATGCCTGTTTCCTCGTTAATCCCATTTGTGCACAAGCGCAGATGGTGAGGTCGGCAAATTCGACTGGGTCGGCATTCATCCGTGGGCCCGGCTTCTTGATTGCCTTCAGAGAACACCGGCTTTAAGTTCCGAGGCAGCCTTGCTTCAAATCAGAAAGCCGGGAGGTGGGTCATGACATGCTGCCCAGCTTCCTGATTAGTCAGGAAGCCTGGCTGCCTCGCATCATGAAGCCAGCTTCCTAGCCAATCAGGAAGCCGAGAGGCAGGTCATGACGTGCCGCCTGGCTTCCTGATTGGCTAGGAAAGCAGGCTTCACTTATTGCTAGGCAGCCCGGCTTCCTGAACAATCAATAAGCCGGGCAGCGGGGCATGATGTGCCGCCCGGCTTCCTAATTGGAAGGCTGCCTTGGAACTTGAAGCCGGTGTTCTTTTGAGGCAATCAGAAAGCAGGGCCCACGGATCCCGATATCTGTATTAGGTAACGGCGAGTACCGAAAAAAATATTGGTACTCTTACTCGATACCGAAAAAACTGGTATCATTGCATCCCTAATCTTAGGTATCAGAAAGATCAGTGTGATACCCTTATAGTGCACAAGTAATCACCTTTATTTTTTTGGCATCAAACATATATTTCAGAAGTTTGGCTGATCTGAGGTTGTTTTGACAAAGCACTGTTACCTTGTCAAATTGGGGTAGTTGGATGGATTTGTTTTGACATATCATATGAAGTTGAGCAGGCAATGGGCTACCAAAAATACAACTTGGGAGGGACTGTACCTTTCAGCTGACCTGAAAACTAACATCATGTAAGGCCATTTCACAGTATAAGCTGAAAAAACGTTCTTTAATTTGCAGGATGAACTTCTGCGGACACTCTCAGCTAACCGTAGAATCGCCCCAAGATATAGGTGGCGTAGAAGCAGATGGGGCACACTGTGTCCTGTGGCTCTGAAAGAAGGATATATAAAAAAAGGGTTACCAGAGTTTGCTGTTAGGTGAGTTGTTACTCATACAGATCACAATATTGCTTTATTTTCTGTTATTATTTCAATTTCTACAGTGTCTGTTTCCTTCAGTTTTCTAGATAAAATATACCTAATGTCCTCTGAGGAATCACTTAAAAGGTTCATGCAGAATCCTCGTCCATTCCTCCTTCCTCCTATGCCCCTGCCACCCTGTAAGGTTGCTGTTATGGGGCCAAAGTTTTCCGGGAAAACCACCATTTGCAATTCATTAGCTAAAAAATACTCAGGAAAGGTGAGTAAATGTTTAGATATTTAAAAAAAAAAGATTTCTATTACAGCATGATCCCCTACTACTTGTCTTTTAGGGTTAAACAGATATTTACATTTTTGTATAAATATATTCTCTTTAATGTCAGCCAACCAAAAGTGATACATTAGTTATAGCTGAAGTCTGGTGGGCTGAGCCACCCATTGACTTTTTATACCTCTTGGGGACTTCAGTGATTAGACCCTCCTCCCCATTATAGTTACCATTATGTTTCTGCGCACCATGGAGTCTCGCTCTTCCTGCTATAGAAGGAGTATTACCACTAAAGGGCTTTTAGGAGAAAGATGTTTTGGTTGTGCTTGCATTCCCAACTGCAGTCAGTATAATTTTTTATATTGTTGGTTTATGAAAGACGTTTCGACCCCTTTTCCACTTCTGCATAAAAGAGAGCGTTGGTAGGGATTTTTCTGCAAGGAGGAGCTGATGGGCATAAGGTAAGGTACCTCTGAGAGGGCCATCCCCTTTGCAGATCTCTTCCAGTTGCAGTAGAGGTCTAATAAATCCTTGCAGCTTCAATAATGTATATAAGAAATAACTTAGTTGCATTTTCCTTCAGAAATCAAATTGTCGAAGATTTTGTCCATTTGAAAGCATTTCTTGATCTATCCGGTTTTGAGAGGAAATGTATTGTTGTGCCCTAAATGTTCCATTTTCTAGCCACGTTTTAAGGAGTTTATCCGTGTTGGGATGACCTAAAACTTGTGACAGTGAAGATAGGCAGGGTGGTGGTGGTCATGCAAAAGTATTTGATGTCCATTTTTCAAGGTATCTTGATGTCCATAGGGCTCCTCTAAGGGGTATGGATCATGTTCCAATGCTACTCATTGTTTATTTTCTTTGTGTCTACACTGGTCAATAAGCCTGACTAGACATTTCAGTTTATGGTAAAGTATTAGGTCTGGGATACCCATTCCACTTCCTAACCTAGGTGAACAAAGAATATTTTTACTGAGTCTGGGAGATTCCTTATTCCACATAAATTTAAGACATTCTGATTGGAACCATTTTAGTAGGTAGGGAGGTAGTGACACTGGTAGTGTTTGTAGGAGGTAAAGCAACCTAGACATGATGTTTATTTTATTGCATTATCTCTACCAAACTGTGTGAAGGTTTGTTGTTTCCAAGTTGTTGTTTCCAGTTGTAAATCTTTCCAAACAGCTGAGTAAAGGGAGAAATGCAATTCCACTATTTGTGTAAGGTCTGCTGGGATATGGGTTCCTTTTTTGGATTTATGAGCCCATTTACCTGGAAACTGGGGTTTGATTGTATTTATCAATGTCTCGGAGAGAAAAACATTGAGATGCTCTATTTGTAGGTTTATTTTGTATTTTGACATTTGGCCAAATTATAGGAGATTTGGAAGGGCTATTATAGGGTTTGTTATGCTGAAGAGCAAGTCGTCCGCATATGCCTCAATTTTCGATTTATATGAATTTGTTTTTATTAAAACCCAAAATACATCTTTTAGGTCTTTGACATGTCTGTGCTGATTTTACCACATGTTGAGGAAGCAAAACAAAATGCTCTTGCAAAAGCCCATGAAGATGCCACTGAGAAAGCTATAGAAGCTGTGAAATTAAAGCTGCATCAGGAGAAATTGTTGAAAGAACAAGGTATGTGCATTGGAATTACTCATGTGATCCATAGAACACATCTGTGTTTCTTAGAGGGTTTATTTTACACCGGCTTGGCAACTTTATTCTTGTGGAGGAATCTGGTGGTGTTCAGTTCTGTTTTAATCCAACTGTGTAACAGAACCGTCTGCAGACAACAAAAATCTAGGAAGCTTTAGCATCCATTACAGAACATGTTGAATGTTTTCAACAAAGACCTTTAGATGTATGTAAACAACATTTTAAAGAAAGAAAGTTCAGTTAGCAGAAAATATCTTGAATGCATATTGCAAGAAAAGTCTCTTAATTTAGCATAATTATAAGTATTGAATTGTGATAAGAATACCTGTCTGTTTAAACATACGCAGGTACATACAGCGTGAGGTCTGATTTACTTTAATACGTTCTCACAGACGGGGCCCTCCTTACCATCTTGTCTTGATTTTTATTGTAACTGTAATGTCTTCCTTATATTGTAAAGTGCTCTGCAAACTGTTGGCACTATAAAAATCCTGTATAATAATAATAAAAATATGTAATTGTCCTTAAAAAAGCACTGTCACAAAAAATATGTATTCTGTCTAATGTATTTAGCTCATATATGTAATGATGGTATTCATTAATTCCTTTTTTATTTCACATGCTTTTATTTATATCTGGTTTCACATTAAAATGCAGAGCAAGCTGTCTAACAAAATGACAGGGCACTGGTTTTGGACCAAGTAGAACATTGCCAGGGGTGCTTACAGCTGTCACCTTTTATTCTCCTGGTTTAAAGCCTATCTCTAGGTTAAAAAAAAAACCTATACAGTGGGGCTACACTGCAAGGGTTAACGGCTTGTTACTGCGTAAAGCACTTTTACTTACCTGATCCCTGCTCCCGCATGCTCAAGTCTGGCACCCGCAGCCTCTTCTCCGCTGAAGTCACCATCTCTAATACACGGTACATAGCCCTGCTTTATATGTGAGGATGCAAAACCTGAGCAGAGGGGAGAGAGGTAAGCATTTCCGAGGAGGGGGTTCAGGTAAGTAAAATATTTTTACACAGCATCAATAGACATTATCGAGCAGTTAACTCTTGTAGTGATGGGGTAGCCCCGCTTTGGGGAGGTCTTCTTTGCCTAGAGATAGGCTTTAAATCATGTTTTTTATTTTTTTAAACTGTTGCTGCAACTGCTGAAACACCCCCGGCAGTGTTATAATTTGCCCCAAACCCTGTCACTGGCACGTCTGCTGGACAGCTTAAGTTGCAAGAAAAATATAAATGCAGTTGTGTAATATTAAAAAGGAGAATTGACAGTCTGGAATGATCATAATGCTCGCAAATGGTGAGCGCTTATTGATCAGCACAGCCACATGACCACACTGACCAATAACAAGCCCTACTTACTTCAGGGACCTTGTCCAAGGCTCTAAAGAGTTTCTCATTGGTCAGTGCAAGCATTTTCTCCAGAATTTTTAATGACCTGAGATCTACGATAACCATAATTTGGCTTATGCAATTATAATTTACAAACCAGGCCTGTAAAACACTGTAGATTTATTAGTCTGGCAAATCTATTGAGGTTGCCAGTGGCTAACATGCTACAAAATTCTGTTGCTACTTATAAAATAACACTTAATATTTAATGACTCATATCATAGCGATGGCAATGGCAGATGTTCAAAAAGACACAGACATACAAGAGGGAACAGATGATATTTCCTCAGCTCATACAGATGAAGAGCACAGTGTAAAAGGTAAGTGGTCTATGTAAACATAAACAAGATAGACAGATGTTTTTTCACACTTACATGTGTCTTTAAAGATACATCCCATAGTTTAATTAACATTAAGGGGGTTATTCGCTATGGAGCTGAAGGATACAGCCGTAGCTTCAGCTGATCCTTTGGCCCTCTTCGGCCACCTCTGCACTTCGGTTCAGTCGAACCGCTGAAGCGGGGAGAACGGCCTGCCAAAGGGCCGGCCGTTCTTCACGCAAATGACAGCTGGCCGGAGCCAACCATGATCTCAGCGCTGGCTACGCCCAGTTGTAATTACATCAGTGTCCCCAAATGATGTGGGGAAGCTGATCTGTCATTAAACAATAACAACTGTGCGAAGCCGGCCGTGACGTCATGGTCGGCTCCACTCAGTTGTTATTCATTGGCCGGGGCCTGCTAGAAGACTCTGGCAGGTGCCTCTGTTCAACATGACTAACTATGTAACTATGGAGCTAGCTGTCGCCGCTAGCTGCGCCCAATTTTTTTATTTTCTTTAAAATATTTTTTTTTAAATTAATTTTCCTATTTGTTTACATTTTTTAAATAGTTTTTCAACTCCTTTTTTCCCCCCATTAATTTCACTTATTTTCTATTCTGCTCGGTACTTCGGAAGTACCAAGCAGAATAGTCGAGCCGAATGACGCTTGGCGGCATTTAGCTATTCGCTCACAACCCCTAAGAGAATAGGGAGCTTCGGGTCAGCCGATCCAGATGTTGGGTTGGCTGAGTCGAAGTCCCTCTGCACTTCAGTTCAGCCGAACATGCAGAGCATGTTCGGCTGACCGAAGGCAGCCGAAGAACGGCTGATTTCAGCCGATGTACGTCGTTCGGCTCACCTCACTTCGGCTCGGTCATTAACTCGGGTGCCATCGGCAGCTAAGTGAATAACCCTGTAAGTCTTGAGATGTATACAGGGAGCACAAGTTACCTACAGAGTCATTTAGTTTTTCATTCATGTGTTGCTGTACTGCACCTGCCCACCCCACTCCCTTTTGTCTGTAGTCTTGTGATCCTACAACACAGTTGCTAGTGATGCTGGAATGCTCTCATTTCTGCCTCTCATACATAGAAAGCCTGATGTAAAGAATACAGTTGTGGGCATATTTTGTGGGTACCCTTACAGCTCATTAAAACAATGCTTCATTTCTCCTGAAAAGTGATGAAATAAAAAACAATTGTCTCATGTATACCTGCATCCCCTTGGTATGTCATTTAGCAAAGCAAAGATATTCTGAAATAACTTGGACAGATTTGTTGGTACCCTACTAAAGACAAATAAGTGGATCATAGTGATATTTCAAACTAACACTCTCCTGTAATTAGTATCATACATGTCTTAAATCTGGTAATCAGTCAGCCTATTCAAATGGAGAAAAGTAGTCACTCTGCTGTTTGGTATCATCAGGTGCACCACACCGAATGTGGAACCGAGAAAGCAAAGGAGAAAGTTGTCTGAGGAGATCTGAAAGAAAAATATAGTCCAGCATGTCAATGATGAAGCCTTTAAGACCATCTCCAAGCAGCTTGATGTTCCTGTATCTGCAGTAGCAAATATTATAAAGAATTCAACTTCTTAATATTTGCTACTGTAGTCACGAGAACATCAAGCTGCTTGGAGATGGCTGATAGCATTTACCTTTGACATCCTGGACTATTTTTTTCTTTCTGATCTCCTCAGACAATGCTTGGTAACTAAGTGTCTTACACAGGGTTGGGCTTATGTTACTTTTAGCTGGCTAAAAATGTATCATTATGAATTGTTTTTATACTTTGTCTTACAAATAGAAAGCGTAGAGAAATCTGACACAACAGAAGATGACTCTTCCAAAAAGCAGGCAGTAGTGGAAATTGCAGAGGAGCAAAGTGTCATTCAACAAGATGGTACATTAGTTATTTCAGTTCTTACTATTTAATAATTGTCAAATACAGTAAACTCCACGTTATCCGGCATCCACGGGGATCGGTTGATTCCGGATAAATGTAGTTTCTGGTTGCTTGAGAGTTACTATTAACGGTCCCCTTTAGATCAATAGCTGATGACAGCTATTGACAAAAATTCCCCCCCCACCACCGCTTTACATCACTTCCTGTTCATTCATGACTTACTCAATGGCAAGAAGCACTCTCTACAGAGGCTTCTCCCCATTCAGAACCAGTTGATAGTAAATATTTTACTATCATCAGTTCCTGAATGAATGGGAAGCCTCTGTACTGATGTAACAGACTTACCCGCCCTCGGTCCAGCGCTGCCTGGCGGGGCCGAGCACGGCCAGCTTGGCAGCCAGCTCCTCCCCTTCAGGGCCGTCCAGCTTGGCAGCTAGCTCCTCCCCTTCAGGGCCGTCCAGGACAGCAATCAGCTCCGCCCCCTCACGTCCGTCATGTACAGGACCCAGCTCCTCCCCTCCGAGCTCGGCGAGGAGGGATTTAAGGGAGCTGAATTGTTTGTTCAGCGTCCGACCGTTGTGAACGGTGCACGCCGAACAAGACGAGGAGTTGGCTATTGCAGCACATGCACCAAAGGACCCAGCAGTGATCCCTCTAAAGCGCAAGTAGCCTGAAGGCATATGTGACAGTATCTACAGGGTTGCTGACTTATGCCATAATACTAAATCTGGAGTTAAATGGATTGTGAAGTGCTGTTGTGAACTTAAACACTGTGAAGGGGTGGATAACATAGTCTGTGCCTCAGCTCTCATATTCCTTCAATAGACTGTTAACCTGCTCACTACTGATTGTCTCCTGCTGGAGCTATACTTATATACTGTCATTTCCTTCAGTAGTCTACTATCAATAAGCATTGCTGAACCTGTGTGACTTCAAGCTGTGAGGGGTATTGCTATCGCAGTCTGTGCCTCTGTTTCCACATCCCTGCTAAAGACTGTTAACTAGATCAATGCTGATTACCACCTGTCGTAGTTAAACCTGCGTGCTGTGAAGGTTGAAGTTTCAACTGAGTGACTAGAACCTGCTGTAGTGACATAGTGTGAATTGTGTGTTGCGTCTCCTATAAACACTGCCGGCCTGTTGCGCCGTGGAAGCAGGTGTATGGGAGGGATTCGCAATACTCAGTTCACCCAAATTAGATCAGGGGAACCAGGAGACCCTGTAGCACTCACCTACCCCTTCTACTCTGCCGATACTAAACTCATAGTTGCCCAAGTGGCAGGGAATGATGTGAAGTGATTCCAAACCCTCCATCAAACACTAAATGGAGTGTGAAGGAAGGAATCAAAACTGAACCCTGTCATTACACCAGTAACTCCGCAGTTGAGCGTCCAGTTATAGCCTCACGGGTCATTACAACTGAGTGCTTTTCATTTATTTATAACAGAGGCTGCAGAAAAAGACATTGATGACTCAATTTCTTTTTCTATTTCAAAAGGGAAATGTCAGGGGTCTGTTTAGAGCAGTAAAAAAAAAAAAAAAACGTGTAAATGATAACTGGGATTTGTTCTAACCAAAAATGGCAAGCTTGGTAACTAAGTGTCTTACACAGGGTTGGGCTTATGTTACTTTTAGCTGGCTAAAAATGTATCATTATGAATTGTTTTTATACTTTGTCTTACAAATAGAAAGCGTAGAGAAATCTGACACAACAGAAGATGACTCTTCCAAAAAGCAGGCAGTAGTGGAAATTGCAGAGGAGCAAAGTGTCATTCAACAAGATGGTACATTAGTTATTTCAGTTCTTACTATTTAATAATTGTCAAATACAGTAAACTCCCCGTTATCCGGCATCCACGGGGATTGGTTGATTCCAGATAAATGTAGTTTCTGGTTGCTTGAGAGTTACTATTAACGGTCCCCTTTAGGCCTCGTTCACACCTGAATGTTTTGTAGCGCGCTCGACGAACGCTCTACAAAACGCTCAAACATCTAAATCCCATTGTATTCAATGGGTCTGGTTCACACCTTGGCGTATTTCAGCCGGTCCCTAACGCGCTGAAAAGGTACATGTACTACTTTGGGCCTTTTTTGTTGCGCGTTTCCATTGGGATACAGCCAAGTAGCCCTCGGAAACGCGCGTTTGTCGCGCTATTTTTTTTACCGCGAATCGCTAGGTGTGAACCAGGCCTTAAATCAATAGCTGATGACAGCTATTAACAAAAATTCCGGGCGCCCCCCCCCCACGATTTACATCACTTCCTGTTCATTCATGACTTATTCAATGGGGAGAATCACTCTCTACAGAGGCTTCTCCCCATTCAGAACCTGTTGATAGTAAATATTTTACTATCATCAGTTTCTGAATGAATGGGAAGCCTCTGTACTGAGTGCTTTTCATTAATGTCATACACGTGCACCATATTGTGGTGTACGCCATGCACATGCGCTGCAGTGTGTTGTTAGAACGCATCGCAGGGCTTGATTTTTTTCTTTTGATAAATAATATTAATTTAACTGTGGCAACGCATGACAAACTATTGTGACGCATTGCCATGCATTGTGATACGCTGTGTTGCAATTAAATATACACCTGTATAATTTTATCACAACACAAACACCAACACATCATAAAAACGATTTTTAACGTAAGTCGCTTATTTACAGTTTTGCGTCCCTTCATTTTTTTACTGTTTCACAAAAATGCGCAATTTAAAATTTACAAATATTTGTTATTTATTAACTCAATACATTTTTAACTTTTAGATTTAGTCAGAATTTTTTTTTTTGTGCACTGATACTGATTTTAGTGTGCTTTATTAAAGGGTTTCTAAACCCTCCGGTTTTTTTTGCATATATCGACTGCAAAAAGTTTTTTTAACAGCGGTTTAAACTTACCCCGTCTTTGCCATGCGCTCCCGTCCGAAAATGCTCAGGCGCCCTCAAAACATCTTGGGTCGGGTGCATGTGCAGTTTGGATTTTTGGCCGGGAGACGAGGAGAGACGCAAGATAAGTCTGTGGACGCGTGCACCCGCATGCAGACACCGCGGGATCGGAAGTGCCAGTAAGGACAGAGGAGTCAGCTCTGGGTCAGACACCCGCCGCAGCGCTGGAGAGAAGGCTGAAAAGGACAGGAAAAAAGCGGAAGATCGGATTAAGAGACATAATTTAAGGTAAGTGCTGACATTCACATTGGGGGGAGGGGGGAAAATTTGACTTTAATGTCACTTTAATTGAATTGTGTATTTTTATCGGTTTAATATTGATTTGATAAACATTTGCGCAATTATCGCAGGATCTAAAAATTTAGTAGCACCATCTTTTTATTCTCCCGGGCCTGTGCTTTCACAAAATATATGGTTTGCGGGGTCTTTTACAAACGCTTGCAATGCAGCAGTTGAAAATCAAAACAATGGGAAAAATTGCAAAAATGGTATGGCCAGCTGAGGTGTAAAGCGTTCCAGAGGGCTTGGCATCAAAAGGGTAAAAGGAAGAATGTCCTTTGGATGGGTGAGATAAAACTGGAGTTTTTTGGCGCGTCACATGAACTCTTGGTTGGCAGACAAAAAAAAGAAGATTTCAAAGAAAAGGAGACTATACCTACTGTGAAACATAGAGGAGGCTTGGTTATGTTTTGGAGCTGCTTAGCTGTGTGTGGCACAAGGTGCCTTTTAATTAATTAAATCTCAAGACTATCTAGGAATTGGTCTTTAACTACCTCCCGGCCGGCCGTTGTGTATAAATGGCATGCCGGGAGCTTCCTGGATGTAATAGGCCGTGTATACATGGCCTGTTAGTCCCGCCCACTTGTGCACAGCGAGCGGGAAAGACACAAAATTTAAAAACCAGCAGCGATGTTTGTTAAAGGAGAACTATGAGGTGAGTGCCTTTCACTTACCTCATAGTTCTAGCCGACTTGTGACAATTAGACTGTCACAGGTCGGCTCAGTAGATCCGGAGGTGAGCGAACACATACCGGCGTTCGCTCACCTCTCGATCCTGTCACAGCTCTCTGCTGTGACAGGGGAGGGGCTGGATTTCCCCCTCCCCGCTCGAATCCACCAGCGCTGACTGGCGGATCATACGGGGAAGGGGGGCGGGTACAGCTGGCTCTGCCTCTAGATAGGCAGAGCCAGCTGTCACTCACGCAGCTGGGCGGATCCAGACATAATCGTCTCAGTATACCGCGAGCTGTAGCTTGCGGTATACTGAGCTTAGGGTGATGGGAGGACGCTAGTTTGTGTCCTCCCGTTACCCTAAGGAGAACTATGGGGAAAAGCCTTAACCCCATAGTTCTCCTTTAACATACAAGCGATCCGCCGGCTATAGAGCTGGTGGATCACTTGTATGAGGTCCCGGTATGTGCGCCCCTCCGCGGCTCCCCCCCTCTCGCTGTCACGCGAGCCCCGGAACCAGCATAGTGCCTCTCTGACAGGGGATTAGAAGGAGGCCGGTTCAGTAACTCCCTCCGGTCCCCTCTCCGGTGTCAGAATGCGGAAGTGGTGTATATTACATCACTTCCGGATGCTCATGTCACTCTCCAGCTTCAGACGCTGGAGAGAAGCTGATGAATCAGATCTCTAAAGAGGACCTGTCACATCTTTTGCTATCACATATAGGGGTTTCTTAGCCCCCTCTCTGATAGCAATAAAGTTAAGTGAAAAAAAAAATAGGAAAAAAAATTAAAGTTTCCCCACAATTTTTTTTAAAGTTACACATGAAAAAGAATTAAAAAAACAAATTTTTTTAAAAAGTCCCCACCCCTACATACACGCATGTAAACATGTGTCAGGTGCGCATACCTGCGAAAACGACGATTGCGCCCATTACGCCGCACATGTTACATATCGTCGCGAACGTCGCAGTGAGAGCAATAATTTTAGGGCCATCAATCACTGATAACACGAAACTGATGAGCGGTAAAAGCTTTTAAAGCGTTGCCTATGGTCAATTTTGGGTATGCTGTTTTTTTTGCGATTTCGCGGGTGCGCGCAATTTTTAAGCTTGACATGTTTGGTGTCTATTTACCCGACGTGACCCCAAATTTTATATATTACCAAAAAAGTGGGTAATATTAATTGCTTTATAACATAATGTTAAAAAAATTCAAAATTTTCAGTAATTTTTCCAGAATATAGTAAAAAATAAAACCCCCAGTGGTGATTAAATACCACCAAAAGAAAGCTCTATCTATCCCTAAAAAATTGTATAAAATGCAAATCAGTACAGCGTTGCATGACGGAATAAATGTCAGTCAAAGTATCGCATCACTGAATACTGAAAAATGGCCTGGCCTAAACACCTGGTCAGCAAGTGGTTAAAAGATGAATAAACACTGATGTGCACATCTTATTTCATGTTATTTAAAATCACCTATTTGTCTGACATTTGAACGTACATATGTCCATATTACGTTTTTACAGTTGCCTTCTATGGTATTGGATCTTCATAATGCATACATGTGTAAATGATAACTGGGACTTTTTTTTAACCAAAAATGGCAAGCTTGGTAACTAAGTGTCTTACGCAGGGTTGGGCTTATGCTACTTTTAGCTGGCTAAATATGTATCATTATGAATTGTATTTATACTTTGTCTTACAAATAGAAAGCGTAGAGAAATCTGACACAACAGAAGATGACTCTTCCAAAAAGCAGGCAGTAGTGGAAATTGCAGAGGAGCAAAGTGTCATTCAACAAGATGGTACATTAGTTATTTCAGTTCTTACTATTTAATAATTGTCAAATACAGTAAACTCCCCGTTATCCGGCATCCACGGGGATTTGTTGATTCCGGATTAATGTAGTTTCTGGTTGCTTGAGAGTTACTATTAAAAATAGATCTAACTAATGCCATACCTCATACTATACCGTACCATAACATAAACTCTGTATTGACTTCATATTAATGAAATGCAGTCATCAAAAGCAAATAGACACACTTAAAACAAATGAAAGGGTTTCTAAACCCTCAAGTTTTTTTGCATATATCTACTGCTAGTAAAAAAAAAACGCTTTTATGACGGAATAAATGTCAGTTAAAGTACCGCAGCGCTGAATACTGAAAAATGGCCTGGATGGGAAGGGGGTTTAACACCGCGGATGTCAACTGGTTAAAGTGTGTCTTCGCCGCGCGCTCCCATCCGAAAATCTGAAAATTCTCTGGTGGCCGCAAAGCATCTTGGGGCAGGCGCATGCGCAGTCCGGATTTTCGGCCGGGAGACGACGAGAGGCGCAAGGTAAGTATATGGACGTGTGCACCCGCATGGATTTTTTTAATTCTGGTTAGATGAGAGTTCTGGTTAGTTAAATACCGGATACCAGAGAGTTTACTGTAATACTGCACAATTGACTGTATAACTGCCTTTTCAAATAGGAACTGGCATTATTACGGAACTTTCCCCTGTTCCTGTTAGGTTTAATAGGCATGGTCTTATTTTGAAGTCCTTGTTCACTCAATATTATTCATAATGAGTCGCTAAAACATTGTGTACTTATTCCAACCAGAT